GCTCCGGTATCCGTCGACCGAGAAAATGTCATCGAGACCACCAACGTGACCCAAAATCAACAGACTCCGCTGATCGGAACCTCGATCGCCGAGAGACGTATGATCTCATATTGAACTCTCCTAATGACCAAATTGGATCTCGAGTATGGAACCGTACAACGGATAGAACAATTTTCGACGATCTGACCAGAGCAACAAGACTGAGATCCCTGGCCAGAGCAACAAGACCGAGATCCCTGACTCAGTTGGCTCAAACTCTAGACGAAATGGCGGAAATGAGAGCAAGGATCGTCACGCTTATCAACATATCTCGCAAACAAGAAATCGTTCACCGAACCATTGCCAGCCGCCTGGAACAAATCGAGAGAGAACTCGCCGAGAGCCGAGTAAATCCAAAAGAAAGAATCCGACAATAGTCGGATCCACCCTTGAAACCGTGGAACCTTCGCCTCCCCCGAAATAGCTCACCCGATCAGACTGTTACGCTGGAGAAAATTTGCGGCAGGCCAAACCTGAAAGGACGACCTATCGAAGCTTAGACTACAATGGCCAAGGTGAGGTCAAAAATGGAACACAGGGTATCAGAACGACCCCGGCCTCAACTCGGTATAGACCAGCAGAAATGACCCCACCACAACATCAAACTCGGGATGATCGATTCTCGTTCAAAGGTGACGAATTACAGCGAACAGGACCTGCAGCCCATCTAGACCCCATCTCGGCATACGACCCATTCAGATCGATGCATGAGAACCTTCAAGAGAATGACCAAAGGTCCCCAAGCCAAGCAGGAGCATTCAGAAGTTACATTGAAAAGAACGACGCCGAGCTCAAAAGGATACACACTATCGTGCATCTGGCGACGAGCTCGGCCCGCGATATTGATTAGGTCATCAAAGAAACCCGCTGAACTCCATTCACAAACCGAATAACCAGCGTAAGGTTACACGATGTCAGAAATATCAAATTCCCCCAATACTCTAGGAACTCCGATCCAAAAGCGCACGTGCAGGCCTTCAGGTTAGCCGTATCTAGAGCGCATCTCAATGACGAGGAAAGAGAAGCGGGCTACTGCCGCTTCTTCACCAAGAATCTCACAGGTCCTGCTTTAGAATGGTTCGCCGGACTCAAAGGAAATTCGATTGACGATTTCACCCAACTCGTATCGGCATTCCTGAAGCAGTATTCAGTGTTTATTGAGACGCGTGCCACTGAAGCCGATCTGTGGAACCTCAAGCAAGCGCCCTTCGAACCACTAAGGACTTACATAAATAAGTTCAAAGAACTAAAGTCCAAGATATCGAGCCTAAACAAAGTTGTCGCGTTGGCAGCTCTAAAAACAGAGTATGTTTTCTTCCAAGTTTAGGGAAGAAATGATAGTCCGAGCTCCCACGTCACTTGATGACGTGTTGTATCGCGCATCCTACTTTGCAACCCTCGAAGAGGAGATAATGGCCTTGAAGGACCAATACCACGCCAACAAATGAGTAATTAAAAAGCCCAGTACTCCAAAAGAATAAACTACCAAAGGACAACATTCCTACGCCATAGATTCGTCGTCGCAGTTACAAACTGTCGACGTACAACCCATACAAGTACTGCGCCTTCCACAAACGAAAAGGGCATTCAACCAAAGAATGTCGTGATGCACTCTGCAATAAGGAAGAAAAAAAAGAAGGCGGTGAGAACGCAGAAGAAGAAGAGACCAGACGACCCCAAAATCTAAGAACAAAGGTAAAAGAGTCAGAGAGGCCGAGCCAGCAACACAAGAATCGCCACCTCCCGCCCCAAAGAAAAAAGTTGACATAATCTTATGGGGATCCGAACATAAAAAAGCGACAAAGCAAACCGAAGAAAAAAAAATAAGCATCGACATCACGATGACGATATGAGGCCCGGGAAAGGTCGATAGGACCTATTCTCCTCCTCGCAAACAAGCAATCAGATCCCACCACGAGCCCGAGGCGAGTAACAGATTCAGAAAAATCCGGAAACTACTAGAGAAACCGATACATAAGAAATAGTACAGCCCGCGTTTACTCAAACCCAACCTGTCCGGAGGAAAGGATACCACCAGCCGACACTAACCAAAAATGAAGATTCCCAACACACCACCAGAAAAAGGGAAAAAAATTTGATTTTATTCATGGAGGATCAAAATTTTGCAAAATCAGTCAATTCCATCAAAGCCCACCAACGAAGAGCTGAGAACAGCGCTGGCATATGCGAGCCTTTTTCTGGTCGCGACCACGAAATTACCTTTGACGAAAATGAAACCGTCGACCTTGATAAACCACACGACGACTCACTCGTCATACGACTCGACGTCGTTGGATGCGAATTGTCCAGAATCATGATAGATACCAGAAGCTCCGTAGACGTACTCTTCTACGATGCATTTAAAAGGATGGGATTCACCAAAACACTCCTCAAACAAGAAAGGACCCCTTTAATCGGATTTTCAGGAGAGAATACCTTTTCTCTTGGGTCTATCGGGCTCGCTGTGACCACCGAGGACGTAAGAAAGATCGTCGATTTCATCATCATAGATCGGCCTGCTCCATTTAACGGCATCCTAGGAAGACCGTGGCTATATAGAATGAAGGCAGTACCCTCAACCTACCATCAAGGTCTGAGGTTCCCTACACCAAGAGGAATTGAAACCATAAGAGGGAGTCAAAAGAGTTCCAGAATATGCTATCTTTCGAGCTTCAAAGTCATCAACCCAATTTCGGCATCTATCTAAACAGGCCAAGCCCATCTGGAGTGATCACAAACTCGACATCGAGCCGGATTCTACGAGGTTGAGGCGAGATCCCAGAGATCGCGGAAGCAGTTAGAGGAGGAAAGGACTATAAAAAGAGAGCTAGAGTGACATTCAACACACACGGAAAACCCCTAGAGATATTCACTAATCACATCGACCTCAATCTTTTAGATTTCTAGTTCGCCTTCTTGTACTGTTTGTTGATATTTCCCATCTTGTTCATCACTTTGTAAATGAATTTCATATTCAATAAAAGTCCACTTTTGTCAACTGAAGTCCGATTGTATCGTTGTGTTTAAGAGTATTGTTTCCTACATTCTTTGTCTTCCTTTGATTGAACTCTAGATCTCTACAAAATACTGAATGTGGATTTTATGATCTACACATATGTGTTTGTCCATATAGATAAATCATCTAAACAGACTTATTTTTGTTTCTTTATCTCCATCTCCATCTAGATAAATTTAATACACAAATTACTAATACTCTTGTTTAGATTTAATCATATTTTATTTTCTTTCATTATATTAATTTTTAGTAATTATCTAAATACAATTATTTTAAAATATAGTTTTGGTGGGAAATATAATTTTTTGATTACCAGAAATAACATATTCACGATTTTAGCGGAAAACGTGTCTTTTTGCGGTTTTGGCAAGAAACGTGTTTTATGGTTTTCACGGGAAAATATGTATATGCAGTTTTGGCGGGAAAACTTATTTTTGTGTTTTTTACGGAAACATGTTTCTTGCAATTGGTAGGGAAACATGTTTTTACAATTTTGGCGGGAAACATGTTTTGTGGTTTTGGTGAAAAAACACGTTTTTAAGGTTTTGGTGAGGAAACGTGTTTTTGTGGTTCATAGGAAATATGTTTTTATGTTTTTGGTGGAAAACACGTTTTAGCGGGAAACCGTGTTATTACGATTTTGGCGAAAAAACATATTTTTACGGTTTTTGGCTACAAAATACGTTTTTGCGGTTTCGGCAGAAACAAACACATTTTAGTGTTTTTGGCAAAAAAAACATTTGTTTGTGGTTTTGGCGTGAAAACAAATTTTTCGGTTTTGTGGGGAAACACATTTTTGCATTTTTTGGCGGGAACATGTTTTTAGAGTTTTGATGAAAACATGTATTTGTGATTTTACGGAAAAACGCATTTTTACGGTTTCGGCGGAAAAACACTTTTTTACGGTTTTGACGAGAAATATTTTTTTTTTGCGGGAAACACGCTTTTGCGTTTTTGGCAGAAAAAAATCGTTTTCATTTTTGGGAGGAAAACAAATTTTTTCGTTTTTATTGTTTTACGAGAAATGAGTTTTTGTGATTTTATCATTTTTTGTGAAAGAAAAACAATATTAGATTTATGTTTGTAAATCATGAATTATATCAAGATATAATAGATATGGATTATACCAATTTGAGAGGACCATGTCTATCCAAATGGTTCAATTTGGATCAATTGACTGATTGTAAAAATTAACACTATATTTATATAACTCATCCAAATAAACCATTTAGATGATTTTGTAGTTTAAAGTATAAACAAACAAAACTCTCATCTTTATCTAGATGGGTGAAACAAACATTTTCATAGTCACAAAGCCATGCTTAGAGACATCCGAATAGACTGAAATGCTCACGCTTGACAAGCTGTGAAATGATTCTTTAGTCCACCAAAGGTTTCACCTAAATATGCAATCCTCAATTGTCTAGTCCCTTTTACTGAAAAAGTTTCCACTCCAATGTTATGCAACATTGACCTCAGTTGCATGTTTCAGTGGATATTCTTAATCTGAGTTGTTTCTCGAACTCAAAGTGCCTCATCTCTCTCCTCACGGCAAACACTTTGTTGATTTTCAAGAAATCATTCATAACATTTGCGTACTGAATAGTTCCTTTGACAGCAACTTTTCTTTCATCCCATATTCATAAAATGTATCTTTAGAAATTTTTAGTAAATTGACTTTGTTTGTGTTCTCATACCTTTTCACATTTTTTTTATTGCTCAAATCATCGATTACATCAAACAAAAATCTTAAAACTAAAAACAAAAAAGTTTAAAAAAATTATAATATAAAAACCAAACATAAAATCATGATCTAAATTAATCGTCACATTAAAATATTTTAATTTTTTTTTATAAAAAGAAATAAATAAAATATGCGCACTCCTCATCACAATGCACGTTAGATAAAGTCATCAAAATATTAAGAAATTAGCACCGTTTACTTTTCACTCCGATATTTACTTTTCGAACAACAAAAAAAAAATCCCCAAATTATTGGTCTCGCCGTTCCACGGCAAATCTCGAACTCTTTTTCCCCGGCGATTCACTCCGTCATGACTTGAATCGCCGATTACCCAACAACTTTTCACTGACACCATAAACCCTAACTTCTCTGTAGCATTGGTTCCAAAACCCGCTTGGGATTCGTGTGCTTTTTTGCTACCTCGGTTTCGTTCCTGATCTGCTCAAAGAACCTGCGGCGATCTATTTTAAAGCTTTGTTCCCACAAATCTCAGTAAGATCGATTCTCTGTTTACTGAAAGTTAGGTTTTGTTTTAGTTCAATGTTGTTATATTTTTAGGGTTTCTAATTTGAGAAATTAAGTTGGGGCTTTTTAGTTAAATCCACTGAAAAGGGTTTATCTTGATTCATTGAACAAGTTAATAGCTTTAATTATCCAAATCTATTTGTGTGGTTCTCTTAGATGTTTAAGTGTAAATGCTGTTTTTTTTAGGGGGTTTTGTCTGAAAATGTTGCTTTAAAAGAATAATGCTGTTCTGTTTCGAAAATAAAAGATTCTCTTGAAATGCTTGCAGATAATGATGACCTGTTGGTGCTTGAAAACGGGTTTCATTTAATTTCTTATTTAGCAGAGTTGCGTTTTATATTATTCTATCAACATGGAAGCATACAGAGAGGAAGCTCTTAGAGTGAAGCAGATTGCCGAGAGGAGATTTGCGGAAAAAGATTTCACAGGCGCCAGGAGCTATGCATTGAAAGCTAGGTCTCTGTTTCCTGATTTGGAAGGTTTGACTCAGATGGTTGCGACGTTTGAAGTTTATTTGGCTTCTCAGTGTAGAAGCGGCGGTCAAATCGACTACTACGCAGTGCTTGGACTGAAACCCTCTGCTGGGAAGAGAGACGTGAAGAAACAGTACAAGAAGATGGCTGTCTTGCTCCATCCAGACAAGAACAAATGTATTGGAGCTGATGGTGCGTTCCATCTCATATCTGAAGCATGGAAGTTCTTGTCCAATGAGTTCAATAAAAGCACTTTCTATTACAAAAGAAAGAAGCATATCGACTCTGGCGTTGTTCAGAACCACCGCACAGAGTACACGCCAGGAGCTGCTGCAGCATTTGATCGGTTTCCATCGTCATCAGAAACACTCGACACTTTCTGGACTGTATGCACCTCTTGCAAAGTTCAGTATGAGTACCTGAGGAAGTACGTGAATAAGAGGCTTTCGTGTAAGAACTGTCGAGGAGCATTTATAGCTGTAGAAACCGGTCCAGCTCCTGTTAGTGCACCTTTTCATTACACGCCTCCATCTCCTCTTCCTAGTAATGGCTATAGCTCACATAGTTACGATGCACGCATGCCCACAAATTCCACGTATCTCTTAGGCCACTATCCTGCGCAAGGACATGGATATGAATATGCTACGAATGGTTCATATGATTGGAGCTCATCATACCCTGAAACAACCTCCCCAGGGAATCTTGATTTGAAGCGTGTGTCCAATGGGTATCCTTACAAGCACAGCAAACCAGCAGGGATAAGTAAAGTTAAAGATGGTTCCAACGGGACATGCTCGATGAAGACCAAGCCAGATGGTCTGTTATATACTAGCCCGCCTGGCCTTTCTACTCATACGGCTGCAGTTAAGGTCGGCAGACCTGAGAAGAAGAGCAAAGTATTTATTGAATCCTCTATTCATGGATTTGTTGAGAATCCTCTGAGATCTGCATCTGTGCCAAAGACAACGAATGCAGATGTCAAACTTCATGGCCAAAGCTATGGTTCAACTAGGCGCTGGTCTGCTGCATCAGTATTGGATACACGGAAGCCATTACTTCAAAAGGCAAGAGCAGATATTAAGCAAAGACTGGATATCATAAGATTGGCTTCAGAGGCAGCAGCGGCTGTAGAAGTCACGACACTAGCTAGTGAAAAGACTGTTGACTCATGTAAATTGGGAGATGTTACGGGGCGCAAAACCAGTGGGCCTATAACGGTTCCAGACTCTGATTTCCATGATTTCGATAAAAACAGATCGGAGGAGTGCTTTGAGCCAAGACAGATATGGGCAATCTATGATGAAGATGATGGCATGCCACGCCTGTATTGTGTGGTCAGGGAAGTGCTCTCTGTTGAGCCCTTTAAGATTGACATAGCCTACCTAAGCTCCAAAACCGACATCGAGTTCGGGTCCATGAAGTGGGTTCAATACGGGTTTACAAAATCGTGCGGACATTTCAGGATACAAAACTATGACATAGTTGAACAAGTTAACATATTTTCGCATCTTTTGAGAGGCAGGAAGACAGGGAGAGGCGGTTGTGTTCGAATCTTCCCCAAAACTGGGGACATTTGGGCGGTCTACAAGAACTGGTCACTGAACTGGAATGAATCAACACCTGACGAAGTGAGGCACGAATATGAAATGGTCGAGGTCCTTGATGAGTATACTGAACAGTATGGTGTGTGCATTGTGCCTCTTGTTAAGCTAGAGGGCTACAAAACAGTATATCACAGGAGCGCGAGGGAAGACGGTAAGAGATGGATACCAAGGAGCGAGATGCTGCGGTTTTCACATCAAGTGCCGTCTTGGTTTCTCAAAGGTGCAACTAGCGGCTTTCCTGGAAACTGTTGGGACTTAGATCCGGCTGCAATCCCCGAGGAGCTGCTTCACGTTGGAGCAGAAGCTGATTGATTGATTCCAGTGACCTTGCAGGAGAAGGAAGGTATCAGATTTAGACCAAGTGTAATAGTTGTATCAGCGAAGACTAGAGATGTAAGAGAGACTGTTGACACGCAAAAGATTATGTTTGGTCACTAAACTAAAGCTGTTGTATTAGGTGATATTCAACGAGTAAACAAAGCGTAGTTGGTTTTTGTTTGATCTCTTTGTTTGATCTCTTCTTTACATTCGCTCTTTATTGACCTTAGTCATGACCGAAATTTTACAGTCCAGTTATAAAAAGTAAAAACAGCAATTTATCATTCCTTTTCTTACCACTTTTGTTTAAAAAGAAAATTCTGGAAAGGATTTTTGTGAGATGACATATTATTCCCTAGTTCGAGAGGGAATTATGTGGGTTTTTTACCTTACTATAGTTTTTGCTACTGAGTTTCCTCAAAATGTTTCCATCCACTGGTGTGCTCTTATCCACCTATATATGGTCTGTATCTTGCATATTTACTTGTTTTTGTTTTCTCTCTTTGAACAAGAATGATTGTTATTGTACTTTTTGTTTTTGTTGCTATATTTTCCTTCTGTTTAATTCATGGCAAAATAGAGTGAATTTGATCTATGAAGCACAGAGTCCAGCTGCGTTACATTAGCAAGCATGATTGCATAATTTGCATTTGAGTTTCCCTTTCTATACCTGTGTTAGTTCGTACAGTGTTGGCACTTTTCTGCAGTCATAAGGTTCTTTCCCCTTATTTGTTAGGTTTATCAAAATAAGTTGTTTCTTTTTCTGTTTCACTACCAATAAATCATGTGTAGAGAGCTAAGACCAATGTTTGGATGAGTAGGGTTATTACAAATAGCAAGCAAGAACATAAGAGGATGTATATATATATATATATATATATATATATATATATATATATATATTATTTTTTAGTTGGATAAGGAGATGATTAACTTGTATAAATAAACAGAGAACATTAAGACATGGACTTGAAAAGATTATATGACTCGCCTTACATAGTTTAGAAATGTAGAGTCCTGAATTATTGAGCTAAGAACATGATTAAGAAGAAAGGGTGAGTAGACTGGTATTGTGTTGTGTTGTCCTAGACTTTCTGGACTATTAAATCATTCATTATGGCGTCACTGTTCTTTTCTTTGCTTCTCCTAAATAACGTTACTCAGAAATCAAAATATGTTTAGAACATAGTTAGAGTTGACAACAGAGGAACTATCTATTGACAATAATTTTCACCAAACTAGATATTTATGTATTGGTCTCATATGTGATGATAGCATTTTATAGTTGTATTATCGTCTTATATGATCATTTTTCATCCTTTAGCTGATTCTTTATGACCCCATAGGCCCATATGTATGTTTGATCTCTCTAATTAAGCAAACAAAATACATATTTTTTTTTGTAACACAAACTTTCATTAAAACTTAAACACCTCGAAGGGTGGAGTTCAATACATTAGTCTCAAGCACCAGAGCTTGTTTAGCCAAGGCATCAGCCTCTTTGTTTTTTCCCCTAGGTATCCATGTGAAGTGGATTAAATCAAAAGCAGAGCATAAACTCACAATATCAGCAACAATACCATAGATATCTGGGGTCGGTTTGCCCGACGTAATTGCTCTGACGAGCTGGGTAGAGTCAGTCTCGCATCTAAGTCGTTGGAGCCCCAACTCTCTACACATGAAGATTGCTTCCCGTAGGGCTAAAGCTTCAGCCACCAGTGGCGAAGCCACAAAGTAGCAGTGAGCACCAAAGGAAGTTCGTTCTGCATCTTTTTGAAAAATCCATCCGAGCCCAGCAATACCCGATTCTGCGTTCCATGCCGCATCCGTTTGTAGGGTGTAGCAGTTTGCAGATTGCCTCTCAATCCGAGGGTTGTGTCGAATAGGGGGTAGTGCAGGTTCCTGAGCACTTAACCATTCTCTAGCATAGAAAGCTGCTTTTGTGATAATCTCTTCCTCTGTCGTAGACTTCTTGTTAAACACAAGATTATTCCGCGCCGTCCAGAGGGACCAAAGGAGCCATGGGATAAACACGTCACCAGAGAGGCCGGTTGGGGGGAGACAGGTTAGTGTCATCAGTTCCGACCAATTCACAGGAAAGTCTATCAATCCGCTACCCTCAACATGGGGGTAAATGGGAGCCAGTGCCCATACCCTTTTAGTGAAGTCACATTGAAAGAGTAGATGATGGATAGATTCAGTGAGGCCGCACCTCGAACATTTAATATCACCAGCAATGTTTCTTGACGCTAGTCTATCGCCAACCGGTAGAGCACCTTGAAAAGTCTTCCATAGGAACATCTTTATCTTTGGAGCAAACAAAATACATATATTTGTCATAAATTACAAATAATCATATGGACGAGAACTACGTTCACTGATGGAGATATTTCCTAAAATCTGTAGAAACTAGCCACATACATTAAACCTTGTTTCTTAAACCTAGAATGATTATCATAATGTACAATGAGATACGATCTATCAGCATAATAAAGTTTATAAGAGATAGAACAAGCGAAATAAAAGAAGCAAAGTAAACTTTATGAAGTTTTGAATTATTAATATAACCAATTGAACTTTAAATTTTCTCAAGCTGCTCGGCTCAGCTTGTGCGTTTCTGTCACCTCTTTTGCTCTTTGGTGTTATTGCTGAAGATTCTAAATTTGCCATGCACGAACATTATTAAAAAAAAAAAAAAAACTCTTTTTGCTGACTGATGATTATTAGATCGTTGTGAAATTTCCCTCTAACCTTTATGCTCCTACCTTTCTTCTCTCTTTTGGTTAGGTATTAATCTCTTCCTGATCACTATGTAACTGTCGAAATCTCCTTCCCAGAAAGGGAAGAAAACGGACTCTCTGGTAGATTCAAGACTTGGTTGTCCAAAGGTTCACAATGGATTCTCCTGAAAGAAAAAAAGAAAACCTCATCATATGATAAAATAATAAAAGACTTTAAATCTGTGTTTGTTAAGATCATTTTTTTTTTGTTGCCTACCGATCCGTGTCTTTGTAGTTAGTGGTTATGTTCAAGACATTATCTTCGGTGTTCAAATACTCTAGCAGATAGCTCAACCGTCCCGCTTGTTCCTCTTGCTCCGCTACAAATTAAGAAACATCAAGCAATTGATTGTATATTATCTTAATATATTAATTAGTGTTATAATTAATTACCATCTGCTGTTAGTTTAAAGTCATCGGAGAAGCCAAGATAGGAGTAATTAGTAGGTAATGACTTTGAAATCGATTGCTCATGTTCCTCAAGAAACTGCTTTCTCATTAGTCTTGAGCTCTCACTTACACGCGCTGGCACTTTAAAAGACCAAAGAAAAAAAAACAGTTAAATGAAAACCGTAATCACAAGAGTATATAGTATATAAAAACTGATTTTGATAAATTACTAACATGTGTTCATCTCCATGTCTCTGTCGATGTATTGGGAGCCATACCGCATCCCGTGAAGAGGCTTGTTATTGTCAAGATATCGACTAGAGCGTGATTTTTCCCGGTAAGGCTTAACGAGAACACGAGCCCCACAAATGAAATGAGGATTGCCTTTCGCAAGAATGAGTTTCACAGTTTCAGTGTAAACAAATGTTACAAATCCAAACATTCTCTTCTGTTGACAAGGAATCCTCACATCTTCCACAAGCCCAAATTTGGAGAAGTAGTTTGAGACATCATGTTCAGTAAAACTACTCTCTGCTGGAAATGTCAAGTAAATCTGTTTTGAACCAGCAAGGATCGCTCCATGTTCGTTGCTCTCTTCCAAGTATTCCACAAACTTTGATACGTCTTCTGCTAATATAACCGAATGCTGCCCATGAGGCCTGAAATATTCAAAAGATCATTTAGTCAAAAATAAATCAGCATACTATAACTCCATGTAACAAACTAAATAACCTGTCGATGAGACGGATGGTGTTCTTCAAGCGAGCAAGAAGCTTGGTGAGGCTATAGCCAGCTTTGCCATGTCTTTGTGACTCTGTGAGATATCCTTCAGCTTGAAGGGTCCTACCGTATTTTTCGAGGTACATCATTGGCAATGAAGCTATGGAAATTGGACCGCCACTTCTTGATTTAAGCAGTTGAATGATCTCTCCTTCAAGCTTCTCTAGTGATCCAGGAGAAACAACGTGCTGCTCTTCATCACTTATGCTGTTTGCATTAAACATCTGAGAGAAACTCTCTCTCTCTGGTATGATCTGCCCGTGGAAGTACCGACAATTGCTGCCATGTTTGCAGTAACCTCTGATGAAGTAATGACATATTTTTACCGGAAACTCGGGTAAACTCGGTGATCTCCTGCTGGTTCTCAAAGGCAGAGACTGATGATCCCGAGTGAAGAAACCATTAGAGAACTCAGGGCTTGTCATTGAATCCTCAAAATTCAAGAACTGGACATTCGAGTCAACAGCCTCTGTTGAATTCTCCCAGAAACTGGTTCTCAAAGGAGGAGAAACCGATACCAAGGGAGGCTGGAAAGATCCGAAACTATGAGTAGGAATGTGATCAGAAGGAGGGCTGTGGTGGTAACGAGGATCTTTAGCTAGCTCGTATTTAACGAAGTTGATCATGGAACGCATCACAGAATCAGGACAGAAGGCGAGACGGATCATGTCGCGGTCACCATGGTCTTGCATCAACAAAAGATAACCAATGATTCTCGTAGCATTTTCAGGTTCCAGTTGTTGGATTCTGTTGTGCACAACGTTCATCGCTTCTGTGAAATTCATCTCTAATAATAACGTTCTTATCCCAAAAGTCTTCTGCAAAAGAAAATCACTCAAATTGTTCACAACTTCATTCTTATTCCACAGATTTTTAGTTAAACATTTAGAGTAGAAGCTTGAGACTCACGCAATAACTCATTAATTTTATGAAAGTGGAATTTAAATTTCAAACTAAGAAAAAATATAAAAAAATATGGATAAGAAGAACAAAGAATTGAGATCTGAGTCATGCTTATACAAACAAAACAACATTTGACCCCATTACCATTTTTTTTAAGGACCAAGATTTTAATCAAAAAGCAGGAAATGGATTACCTGAAAGCAGTAAGGAGAAGAGTCTTCTTCTTTTTCTTAAGGTAAACGATGAACAACAAATCAAAAGGACTTATTAGATGTGTAACCTTTTAATGGATCTGTTCGTGAATTTCCTCCATGTTCATAGACTCATATATTTTCAGCGATTCCCATGGACAAGTTTCTGCTTAAATTAAAATGATTGTGTCAGATAACAAATGTGTTTAGCACTATCCAAACAGAGATAACGATTAATATATTGAAAAAAAAACTACTGGAAAATAAGTTTATACCATAATTAAAGTGCCGGCGCTGGGCGAAGCCTGGATTCTATTTAGAAAAAGGAAATATGATTTGGTCTCTGTGGGAAGGAAACTGAATAATTATTAACTCAAGACCGTGAGAACAACAAACGAAAGAGAAGAACAGTACTTTTTTAAGACAAAAGATAAACAGAAAAGGAAACAGAGAACGTAGAACACAACAAATGGGAGATCGTGCAATTTTTAATTTATCATTTTAATCTTTGCAGACTTACAGTAACTGTAAAACAGATAAGATCTCTGAGCGACTCTTGGATGGTAGAGAGAATAAACGATAAGTCCTAGGTACAAATTAATTTGTTTTTTTCTAATAAACTAATTCTTGTTGCGAGTTATTTTTTAAATAAAGAACAAACTTTTTGAATTTTTCTTCGTTTGACAACTAGTTCCATTCCATATCGTTACAGCAAATATCGGGACTCAGTTGGAAGAATAAATATGCTGGAGATTTTAGGACTTTTAATTACGTGATTTAACGACTAAATATCAAATTAAGGCTTTTTTACACTAGGGTTTCCCGGCATACATATGAGTTATATTTGGTACTAGTATTACCACCATCCAGCTACGCACGGATCAGTTCACTGTTTTAAGAGCTACTAGATTCGGAGACAGGTTTTTTTATTCATAGAACTTAAATTATCATAAAAGGAAATAAATTATTTAATTTATCTATTATTAAAATAAAATAGTTTAAATTTGTCTTTTGGTCTTTCTTGATCATAATGGTGTATAAAATATTTGATGTATTGTATTTTTGAATAGGTTTTTATAATTCGGTTGATCTGTTTAATTTGTTATAAATAGACACATTGCATATAAATTGTTGACTACATGTTTAGAAAATTTGAAGGATTTTTTTCAGTTATATTAAAAATTCTGAAGTAATAGGAAAATTTATTAAATATTTTAAATAAAATATACTTGTATTTTTGTGAAATATATATTATTATTTGCAGCACAGTATTAAAGTAATAAATTAAGTTATTATTTTAAGTGATACGAATGTATATCATACTAAAAATGCACTGTACTTGAAGTAATTAAAACAGGATTTAACGAAAATAAAATGGTAATATCTGTTGAGATTATCATTTTGTATTTGGAAATTAGTGATAATGCATCCCGAATATTTTAGAATATGCTAACAATTAGTTGCATTTTTGCAAGCATGGAATGTAGAATTTTCAAAAATATTGAATGAAATCGTTTAGATATTAAAAGTACGACTATCTTTTTTTTTTCTTTTTTTTTTTTGAACACATACGACTATAACAACTTTAATGTTAGAATAAATAGAATCCATTGATGTTATCTCTTTTTATTTGAAAATAACGATGATTGCCCCCCCCCCCCCAAAAAAACAAATCTTAAGAATATTTTTTCAGTTAGTAGTTCTATAAATAAGGAATACATAATTTTCACCCAATGTTGAAAGAGAATCATTTAGATATTTCCCAAACTTACGTTTGCCAAATATTACATATAAACTGTGCATAAATATTGTTTCATGTATATATTTAGATTTTACTTATTTTTTGATAATCTAGAAATCAGTGACGTGTGAGTCGGAGTGTTTAGTCCGGATTCCGGTTCGTTTTTTTCGGTATTTCGATTTACAAAAAATAGCTACCACATTAAAATTATATCTACTTTGGTGTGATTCGGTTTATATAGCATCAATTTTTGATTTATTTAACTTTATACTAAAAAGTAAAACCATAAATATATTTATATTCTATAATATTTTATAAATTTTACTTAATATGATTATATATCAATTTTATTAAAACATAAAGATATTTCAGTTTAAAAACATAATATGTTTTGCTACTTTGTTATACTATTTAAAATAATTCGTAAGAATATTAAGTTATAACAATAATGATAATTTTTATAAACTAAAAAAATAGTAATATGATAATATTATTAAATAATTAAATATTAGCCAAAATATTTTAAAGTTATGTTTTATTTAATTTGATAAAAATAACTCTGAATTTAAATCATGATAACAAATTACTAAAGTTAGCATTTTAATTTATAAAGAACATATCAATAAGATATATTATGTACTTATATATTATCAATTATAGCATATAACTTAGAACAATTCTCCATAATAGACTCTTTTGAGTTTTTATCACAAAACTAGCATAGAAAGCTGAAAGTCCCAATAATAACATTCATTAATTCGCGGAATGACATTATTACTCTTGTTTTATGTTAAAAATAAAATAAAAACACATTTCTATTTCTTTCTCTTACGACTCTCTCTCTCTCTCGACTCACTCTCCTATCTCTCTCATGATGGGGCCGTCAACAAAAACCCGCGACGACGACGAAAGCACAGATTCTACTCTCTTCATTCTCATTAGTCTTGACTCGAGCTCTCACTTACACGCGCTGGCACTTTAAAAGACCAAAGAAAAAAAAAACAGTTAAATGAAAACCGTAATCACAAACAAGATTATTGTATATACAAAAACTGATTTTGATAAATTACTAACATGTGTTCATCTCCATGTCTCTGTCGATGTATTGGGAGCCATACCGCATCCCGTGAAGAGGCTTGTTATTGTCAAGATATCGACTAGGGAGTGATTTTTCCCGGTAAGGGTTAACGAGAACACGAGCCCCACAAATGAAATGAGGATTGCCTTTCGCAAGAATGAGTTTGACAGTTTCTGTGTAAACAAATGTTACAAATCCAAACACTCTCTTCTGTTGACAAGGAATCATCACATCTTCCACAAGCCCAAATTTGGAGAAGTAGTTTGAGACATCATGTTCAGAAAAACTACTCTCTGCTGGAAATGTCAAGTAAATCTGTTTTGAACCAGCAAGGATTGCTCCATGTTCGTTTCTCTCTTCCAAGTATTCCACAAACTTTGATACATCTTCTGCTAATATAACCGAATGCTGCCCATGAGGCCTGCGAGATAATTTAGTAAAATAAATGAATGAGCATTGAAACAAAACTATATGTAACAAACTAAATAACCTGTCGATGAGACGGATGGTGTTCTTCAAGCGAGCAAGAAGCTTGGTGAGGCTATAGCCAGCTTTGCCATGTCTTTGTGACTCTGTGAGATATCCTTCAGCTTGAAGGGTCCTACCGTATTTTTCCAAGTACATCATTGGCAATGAAGCTATGGAAATTGGAGCGCCTCTTCTTGATTTAAGCAGTTCAATGATCTCTCCTTCAAGCTTCTCTAGTGATCCAGGAGAAACAACGTGCTGCTCTTCATCACTTATGTTGTTTGCATTAAACATCTGAGAGAAACTCTCTCTCTCTGGTATGATCTGCCCGTGAAAGTACCGACAATTGTTGCCATGTTTGCAGTAACCTCTGCTGAAGTAATGACATATTTTTACCGGAAACTCCGGTAAACTCGGTGATCTCCTGCTGGTTCTCAAAGGCAAAGACTGATGATCCCGAGGGAAGAAACCATTAGAGAACTCAGGGCTTGTCATTGAATCCTCAAAATTCAAGAACTGGACATTAGAGTCAATAGCCTCTGTTGAATTCTCCCAGAAACTGGACATTATTTTTTAAATAAAGAACCAACTTTTTAAATCTTTGCAGACTTACAGTAACTGTAAAACAGATAAGATCTCTGAGCGACTCTTGGATGGTCGAGAGAATAAACGATAAGTCCTAGGTACAAATTAATTTGTTTTTTCTAATAAACTAATTCTTGTTGCGAGTTATTTTTTAAATAAAGAACAAACTTTTTGAATTTTTCTTCGTTTGACAACTAGTTCCATTCCATATCGTTACAGCAAATATCGGGACTCAGTTGGAGGAATAAACAAGCTGGAGATTTCAGAACATTTTAATTACGTGGTAACGATTAAAAATCAAATTAAGGCTTTTTTACATTAGGGTTTCTCGGCATACATATAAATTATCTACTCTATTAAAATAGAGTAACTATTTTTATCTACTACAATGAAGTCATATAGGACAATTTCATTAATTACTTAGTATGACATATTAAATTATTTAGGTTAATCAATCAAATATATATCATATATGCTGAAAATAATAGATTTACATTTTATTTTTAGATATAACAGAATCGTTTGAGAGAAAATCTAACAAAATCTTACTAACAGTTTAAATATTTTTTTATTAAATAACATAATAATGAATTTCATAATTAATAATATCATACTATTATACATTAATATTAATTAAAATTTCACTATTATAACAAAAAAACGAATCCTATACTATTTTAAAATTTTCATATTATAGTTTATGTTATATTAAAATAGAATTGCACTATGAATTAAATAAAATAAATAAAGTTGGTAAATGAAACTTTATTTTAAAATTTATTTAACTTAAATAAAAACATTATTCACCAATAAAGGATTAACATCATAAATCATGTATATTTTTTATACAAAAATGTTAGTGTTAAATTTTTACTATATCTTATTTTTTACTTAATTTAAAACTAACAAAAACATATTATCTAAAATGATTATATAAAAATATAATAGTATATAACTAATTTTTAGTACATGTGTTATTTAAGAAAGATAGGATATGAGAAAGTTTTACTAATTCAACTAATATTAGTGAAAAGTATTTTTAACTTAAAATTTAATATTTTTATTATAAAATAATATGTTGATAAAATATAAAAATATAAAAACATTTTCTATTAATAATGTTTAATAAGAAAATAAAAAGGAATTAAAGAATATTATATATTAATAATGTTGAATAAAAATCTACACCAATTAGATTATAAATTTACAGAATATATAACATAAAAATATAAATTATATATTTAAAAATTTTATATTAGTATTAAATAATTTTTTAAATGAAAAATATACCCGCACGAACGTGCGGGCAAAAACTCTAGTTTGTTATTAGGATTACCATGCATCCAGCTACGCACGGATCATCAATTCACTGTTTTAAGAACTACTAGATTCGGAGACAAGTTTTTATTCATAGAACTTAAATATCATAAAAGGAAATAAATTATTTAATTATCTATTATTAAAATAAAATAGCTTAAATTTATCTTTTGGTCTTTCTTGATCATAATCGTGTATAAGATATTAGATGTATTGTATTTTTGAATAGGTTTTTATAATTCAGTTGATCTGTTTAATTTGTTATGAATAGACACATTGTATATAAATTGTTGACTACATGTTTAGAAAATTTGAAGGATTTTTTTCAGTTATATTAAAAATTCTGAAGTAATAAGAAAATTTATTAAATATTTTAAATAAAATATACTTGTATTTTTGTGAAATATATAATATTATTTTCAACACACTATTAAAGTAATAAATTAAGTTATTATTTTAAGTGATACGAATGTATATCATACTAAAAATGCACTGTACTTGAAGTAATTAAAACATGATTTAACGAAAATAAAATGGTAATATCTGTTGAGATTATCATTTTGTATTTGGAAATTAGTGATAATGTAAGTTAATCCTTACTATATGTTATTGTATAATGTTTTAACTAATTATTATTTTTTTAAACAGAGGTTTACAGGTTGGTCCTTGTTTTTTAAATGAGGCAATATGTAATCACACTATAAATCCAATTAAGCATCCAACTCCTCACTTCTAATAAAGTATAGGTTTTATTTAGGCTGTCTACTAACATCAGCCTTGCAATTGTAGGAGATTGATGCTATGATGTATGTATTCCGGAAAAGAACAACACTCGGACGATGGAAAACAGATCGTGTTGCTTTCATGTCATGCGTGTTCAGCGACTTCATTAGAAGCGAGTACATCAATTTTAAGAACGTGGTGCGAAGAAGTACACTATGGATAGGTATCTACCGGAATATGGCAAAGGCGAACTGCCTTCTCACGGAAAAACAAGAAAGGTGTGGGGTGTGTAGATCGAATGTATGTTCCAGTTTTGGTCAATCGGAATCACTGGATCGCGTTATGCATCAGTTTCGTGACTAGGCATATCGATGTGTTTGATTGCTCGGGTTTACAGAGGTACATAGAGGTTGAAGCATTCACGGTACTTATTCCTAGGATCGTCAAGGCCGTTCAGTCGGTGACAAACCAGAAGAATCTCACAATCACGGCGTTTAGTGTAAGCTATACCCCTATGCATAATCTCAACCAACGTGCTTGTCATTGCATTGTGTATGCTGTAAAACACATCGAATGCCATGCGCTTGGGTTAGATTTGTCGGTTATGAGTGATGATAACATCAAGAATGGTCGGATTATAATGCTTTGGGATCTATGGGAAGCCTGGTAATGATCCAGAGTTGCTGGAGAGGATGTCGAAGTATGAGCCTCCTGCTTATAAGCCTAACAAATGTATTGAGATTTCCTGATCAATTGTATTGGAGGTTTAAGCTATATTTGTAGGATGTTAATGCTATATTTCGGAGGATGTTAAGCTATTGTATAACATATGGTTTGTTTCCTGATTTTTAGAAACTTTTATCTTCACTTTCGAGGATGTTTAAGCTATAGTATAACATATAGTTCTTTACTTAGACACTATACCGCAAATGGGGACTTTTACCCTAAACCTTTTTTAAAAAAGTATTTAAATTTGTAAATTATATTATTAGTTTAAAAAAAAATGTTAATATGTGTTATATAGTTATATTTAGAACTATATATTATCTTTTAAACCTTACTTAGACACTATACCGCAAATGGGGACTTATACCCTAAACCTTTTTTAAAAAAGTATTTAAATTTTTAAATTATATATTAATTTTAAAAACAAAGTTAATATATGTTTTTTTTAAAAAATGTTAATATGTGTTATATAGTTATATTTAGAACTAAAAAGGATTTAAATTTGTAAATTATATTAAATATATATAATATAGGTTACCCTAAACTAGACAGGCCCGTTCTTACTCTAAATTCGGACCCGAAAAAGACCCATCTTCGACATAAAACCCTACATATATAACCTTCAAAAACCCAAAACAGATCCATCTCAAATCAGTTTCTCCATCCTCGTTTCTCTGTCTCTCTCCTTTCTCTGTAAATATCTTTGTCAAACATGAATACAGAGAGGCGATTCTGTGTAGGAGTACCATCTCGATGTTGGTGTGGACATAGGGTTGTGATATTCTACTCAAAAACTGATGGAAACCCATACAGAAGATTCTACAGATGCGAGATTGGGTTACAGGTTTCAATTATTAAGTGTATTTGTTCTATACTATACTTGAGACTAGTTTGTTCTTATTTGCTTATGGGTTTTGATGTAGCAGAAGAGGGACTCCATTTATTTAAGTGGTGTGATGAAGCGTTGCTTGATGAGATTCGAAGGGTAGATATTCAGAAAAGGAGAATCGCAGAGGAGATTCAAGATCTGAAAAGGATTTTGCAGAAGATGGTAGTTAAATAATTTAGTAAGAAGATTAAGTCCGATGATCTGGGTTGTTTAGGGTCTATTATTTGTCTTTTTCGAAAATTATGCAGCCAAGAATGACTGAAATAGATACACTGGTTCCTGGGATTTATTCATACCTCCAATGTTTATGTAACAGAGTTTTTTTATAACCAAATTCAAGGCGACATATCATATGATCAACAAGAGAATATAACAAAATTTAAAACATGAAACAATATTGTTTGAAACTGAATGCGTATTACTAGAAACATGAAGAAAACTTGTTCGAAACTGAAACATGAAGCAAACTTTTTCAAAACTAACCAAATACAGTCTGAAAATCTGAAACAAAGTGGTGAAAAAACAGCAAACAAAGCGACTATATTGGCATCTTGCAAGTTGATCTGTTGTGGCCACCAAAACCACACCTGCTGCACCTGCGAAGCTTAGGTCCCTGTGATCCTTGTGATGATTTTGTCTTCAATGATTTCGTATATTTTTCTTCTGTTTCTTCGAAGAGACCTTCTTGTCTCAGGCGGTAACACTTCAGAATTTTCCACATCTTCAGGGACAGACCAAGCATCTTCAGGAACAGCAATGGGATTTATGCTTTCTTTATAAGCTTCTCTCCAAGCTCCCGTGGTGTACATCAAATCAGTCAATGTGTGTGGTTGTTTTCCAACAGAGAAACCGGCTTTTATCGCGTGTCTACAAGGAATTTTCAAGAGGTTGTACTTCCCACATGAGCACATCCGTTTATCCAAATCAACAAAGCAGTCAATTGTATCACCCTTAACAAGGAACTGATAGTCTTTTACAGGGTAAACTACAAAAGTTTTACCTTTCTCGATTCTCCTATCAATCTTTTCCTCCACATATATGGTCAAAGGATGCGTATGCTTTGAAATCTTCCTCTTACGCTTTAAAAACCACCGTGTTAGCATTTCTCTAATGCTGTCCAACAAAGGAATTACCGGAAACTCTCTTGGCGTGCGCAAGGCAGAATTAATAGATTCAGCAGGATTGGTTGTCCTAATTGGCCTCTCGTAGCATGTGCAAATACTTCGGTATGGCCGGATTGGCCTCTCACAGCATGTGCAAATACTTCGGTATTTTACCATAGCTTAGCTCTGGAATACCTCTGATGGCGCTGACTGCAAATCACGAG